TAGATGTCATTCCCCCTCCAACCTATCCGTATGGCATACCCGTTGGGTATAATCCACAAGCTGTCTGTGCTTATCATTCAGGGGCACCCGACCATCCGGTTGCTGAGTGTAAAGCACTCAAGCATAAAATCCAAGATATGATTGAAGCTGGAGAGATCGTAATTAGAAGGAAAGAGGCACAAGCGCCAAATGTGGATAAGAACCCCCTGCCAGAATACGATAACACCATTGGGGTTATTATGGACAATACGGAATTCAAGGAGCCTGCTAAAAACTCATCAAGTGAGGCTGAAGTGTTTGGAAATGACGCAGAATTTTCCGATATCCCTGAGGGATCAATTTCCAATTGGACAGCTGAATTTCTACCCATTCAGAAGGAGTTTCGGTAAACCTAAAGGGGGTTTGTCATTCATGCGAATTCATGAGGAAAAAACTTTTGCATCTGTAATTAGCTAATGAAAATATCTTTACTTTTGACCAAAATTTGCGCATGTAAATATTTTTAAGTTTTCATTTCATTTCCGTTTGCTTTCAATCAAAGGTTTTATGAAAATGAACAAGTCATTCTTGTAATGTTATTTTGGTTTATTCGTTTGTTTATATTGCGGTCATATTGCTTGATTCATTTGCTTGTTGTATACTTGATTGTTTATTATCCCAAATTCGTTAATTCTTTCAGATGGCCAAAAATAAAAATATTGGACCCTTTGGATATCACTTTTCTGGAATTCAATAATGGCAATCTCTATCTCATTCACGACTTGAAAATTTTGGAATCCAGATTTCAAAGCGAGAGTGATAAAGAGAAAGTATTTGATTCTTTTTCAAAAATCTTGAACAAAATGAGGAGAAATTCGAACCAAACCTAGAAGCCATAGCAATTGTTCACATTGGCACTGAGAATGAGGTCAAAAGGACATAAATCAGCATTCGTGTGGACAAAAGCAGAAAAGAAGATGATTAAGGGATTGACTATGTATCAAGGTGTACAGATGGTTGGAAGCAGTATCATTTGCAGCAGTAGAAATTCTATCTTTGTACACTCTAATGGGAGTTCGACCAAAGAATGCCGTTTGTCATGAAATGTTACAAAATGAATGGCCTGAGCCTACAACAAGAAGTTTCGTCAGCGTACATTTTGAGGAAGGGGGCAAAGCATTCAACCGAACTTTGCCACTACAAGACGAAGGCAGAGGCAAAGATGTTCCAAATCAGAAAGGGCCGCTCATTGTCCAAAAGGTATTACCTAGCGGAACACTTATTTTGACAGAAATGGATAGGCGAACATTCCCTCGACCTATCAACTCGGATATGTGCAAGAAGATTTTCATTTGATCATGCAAATTTTCCTTAGAAATTCATGCAAATGACGAAATGCAAGTCAGGCCCTTTTCTTTTACATGTAAAACATTTTATCCCTACTTGTCCCCTTTGAGCCATCAGAATTGACAAATTTTCGTTTGGCAGCCCCTGAGAATTGCAAACCCCACACTGGGACAAATTCATTTTGAAAAGAGATGATTGGAAAGAAAAGGAAAACCCCACACTGGGACAAATTCATTTTGAAAAGAGATGGTTGGAAAGAAAAGGAAAACCTCACACTGGGACAAATTCATTTTGAAAAGAGATGGTTGGAAAGAAAAGGAAAACCTCACACTGGGGCAAATTTATCTTTGAAAGAAAGATGGAAAAAGGAAGAACCCCACACTGGGGCAAATTTAATTTTTGAAGAAAAATACAAAAGTAAGAAAAATGCAATGAAGAAAATGCAAAGAAAGAAGAATTCAATCAAACTGGGGCAAATCTTCCTCGGTTTCGTTCAAAAATTGGAGATAGTCTCAAGATGATGCAATCTCAGGTTATTTCACAGCTTTCAGAAATTTTGCTTTCAAGCCTCAACTTTCTTTGAAAAAGCACCCCACCTGATCTCATTACAAGAGCCCAAAGTCCTGGCTTTCGTCACTTGTTGTATTTCTATTGGGATTTTTGCTAATCAACTGGCAAGTGATGTCCATAATACCCTCGCCTAATTTTACAAAGGAAGTGCATTTTGCTGATGCCAGCAATCTTCAACTTACATTTCTGAGTCGATTATGGTCGAGCTTTTCCATTGCTTACTTAGGTGAAAGCCCGAAAGGGCACCTAAAAAAAAAAAAAACTAAACAAAACAAAAACAAAAGGGTAGGGGCAACCTTGGTGAAAACCCGAAAGGGCGCCAAGGTAAGTTTTTTGCCGTAAGCGAGCATGAGGAGGAACAGCTGGTGACTTGCTTCATTCGGATTTCTTCTCATTTTTGTCATACTTCTGCCAATATTAAATTCCAGAACAAAGATATCTAGAGATTTGAATATGACATCTGTTGGCCAAAACTGTGTCGCTTTGTAAAAATATTTTTTTTCCAAATACATTCTTATGAAATACATCTTTTCTCATTTGTTTGTATTCATGGCATTTTGTAGGATTAATCATAGTTGGATGTGTTTTACATTCTTTGGCATACTCATTCCATGTATAACATAGGAAATCATCTTGCATTTTTCATGCATCATTCTTTTACCATTGGATTCGGATGAATGATAAACCCTAAGGTTTGTGCAAGAATATGGGATTCAATCATCTATTAAAGTGAGTAAAATGCAACCAAGCTGCTACATGGATTTGGTGACATGGTAAATGCGCACTTTATTGGTCTCCGGAATCGAAAGGTTTCAAAATTACAAATTCAACCAAGGCAAATGCCGCAGCAAAAGTTGGCAAAGGCATCAAAAGACTCATGTTTACACGATTCTCAAGGCAAGCCGGATCGAATGATGGTGGCAAGTCCATTATTTCTTCTTTTCTTGCAGGAACGTTGCATTTACAAACACAAACAACCACACTTCTTTTCGCACCTAAATTGACGTTAGAAAAAGCTTCCCAATAAGCAAAGACGAAATGATAATTTGGCAAAGGTTGGGTCATAAGGAACAACATCAGCTATCGTTCTAGCCATAAGGATCCAAATCTCCCTCTTGGTACAAAAGTTTGAACTACTCTCAGGTAAGAACTCAATTCATTGTTTAAAAAATCCCGTGGGTCTATCCCATTTGAATTTCTTGTTCGGGTCTATCCCATTTAATTTTCTGTCCGGGTCTATCCCGTGGGTCTATCCCATTTACATTTCTGTTCGGGTCTATCCCGTTTACATTTCTGTTCGGGTCTATCCCGTGGGTCTATCCCATTTAATTTTCTGTCCGGGTCTATCCCGTGAGTCTATCCCATTTACATTTCTGTTCGGGTCTATCCCGTTTACATTTCTGTCCGGGTCTATCCCGTGGGTCTATCCCATTTAAATTTCTGTCCGGGTCTATCCCGTTTACATTTCTGTTCGGGTCTATCCCGTGGGTTTATCTCATTTAAATTCCTGTCCGGGTCTATCCCGTGGGTCTATCCCATTTACATTTTTATCTGGGTCTATCCCAATTACATTTTTGTTCGGGTCAGTCCCGGTTAATTTTCTGTTCGGGTCAGTCCCGTTTAAATTTCTGCTCGGGTCAGTCCCGTTTTAATTTCCTGTTTGGGTCAGTCCCATTTTAGAATTCTTGTTCGTTGGAATCATTTTGCAGCCGAATAATGCAGGTAAGTATTTGGTGTCTACTTTTTTGTCTCAAGTTTTTCCAAAACTCAGACAAAGAGGGGCAAACTGTAGACACCAAAATTTTGGTGTAATTTCATTTACTGTTTATTTTTAGTTTTTTATTTGTCGTGTTAGTTTTATTCGATTTTTAGTTTTTAGTTTTTAGTTTATAGTTTTATTTTTATTTTTAAGTTTTTAGCATAGAATTTCTTGGAAAAAAAAAGAGAAAAAGGAAAAGTGAATGAAAAGAAAAAGAATGAAAAAAAGAAAAAATCATAAAGAAAAAGAAAAAAAAGGAAAAAAATAGCAATTTTGTTTTATTTGGTTTTATTTATCTGTTTTAGTCATTTCCACTTAATTTATCTTTTATTTTTGTTTGGTTCATTTAGGAAAAAAGAAAAGAGCAAAAAACAATGAAAATGGGAAATGAAAAAAGAATTGGATTTTATACTTTGTTGTTTCTAGTTTATTTGTTTTATCCAAGGTTAATTAAATTATTTTGTTTTTATCAATATTGTTTTAATTAATCTCCAAAAAAAAAAAAAAGAGCAAAGTCGCGCCAATGCAAGCTGCGTTTCTATGCAGTTTACAAAGAGAGAACTTGGGCAGTCCTTGGTTGCAAATATAGCAGAGGATATGTAACGCCCCCACTTCTCCCTAAGGCGAACCAAAGGGTATCCGCGGGACGCCTGCCCAGCTCTCGCCAGGACTCACTACAATCCATCATTCAAAAGCTCGAAATACTTTAAGTAACTTCAATACATAATTAAAGTACTCCAAATATCTCACACTTACAATTATGCAGCTTCCAAGCTTAAATACAACCCAACGGAAAAGGGTACAATAGCCATCCGTTATAATATAACTTAAAGTTTTCAAAAGAAAACAATCTAGTACTACTCACGAGCACCCTTGGTCTCGAACCCTGTAAAAGAAAACCACAACGTGGGATGAGCTACACAGCCCAGTGAGGTTCCAATACACTCTAACAGTTCAAATAAATCAAGTAAGTTGGGCATATCATATGCATGGTTCAATGTTACACAATGGCGTGTTATCATGAGGTGATAATCATTGTACGAGTAATTTGAGACATTTATCATGGTATGAGACATTTATCATGAGACAGGTATCATGATATAAGTACATTGGTCAGGTAACAGGTATGGAGCATATCACAGGCATAGTTCAGGATTTCATGTTGACATTTTAGCATGAAACAATTATCATGATACAAGGTAAACATATACGGTAGGATACGGTGTTCCAGTGGAACTCTGTCGGTCATCTGCACCTTATGACTTCCGATCCCCACGGTACGGTCTGGCCATCGCCTTATCCCTCCAGTGGTAATACTCGAGTATACCGAAACGGTGGCCCAGGGTTCCAACCTACCCGACCGAGCCCAGTCCTGGCTCGAGTAGGTCAGTAACCAAGGGCAGGGCCCAAGTTCAGCTTAGAGCTTACAACATGCACAAGTAACCAAGTAATTCGACAAAAGGTAAAATTCATCATTTGAGTAGGTCGAGTGAGGTAAAGTACACACTCGCCTAATAATGATGGACAGCTTCATATAACATGTGATTCATGATAATCAAGTAATCAGGTGGTCAAGTAACCAAGTAAGTTGGTGATCACGTAAGCAGATAACCAAGTAAGCAAGTAACCAAATAGATTAGAAAACGGTAAGTAAACACGGTTAACGGTAAACGGTAAACGGTTAACGGTAGTAATTACGGTTAATTGGTAGACATATGTCATTTCAATAGGCCGCCATTGGCCGTTTTTCACTTTCACCACGTAAGAGTCGAGGAGATTTACTCCAACCGACTTATGCTTCCATAGCATAATTAATCATTTAAACACATCATGTAAATATGCTCTCCAAACATTTCATATCTAGTATTTCAAGTAATCACATAAGTATGCTCTTTAAGCATTTCATATCGAATAGTTCAAGTAGTCACGTAAATATGCTCTTCAAGGGTTTCATATCGAATAGTTCAAATATACATACTTCACGTGTTTCATGTCGAGTAATTCAAGTATACACTATTCAAATATGCATGAGTGTGGTAAATACTTAACATATAGCACTTAACACCTAATGACCAGGAGTTAAGCATGTCATAGACTTATTCCAATTACGTATTCCTATATGGAACACTCACCTATTGCAACAAGAGAGTAAATACTCAAACAAGTGTCTAGGCGTCCACTTCGAGTTCCTCTTGAAGGTCCCCTTGAGCGCCTGAGCAAATAACCATTAACTATTATGCACTATCACTTAGAACTCCTACTTATCAAAGAAGGTTGTACAATCTAAGGGGAATTCATAAATTGGGCCTTAATTATTAATAATCGAGGCTCAAGAGTAGAGTTTGAAAGTCTAAAGAGAGAGACTAACATTTTTCATGAAATCGAGTTCAAAATGTTCAATCGGTATCGAGAAAAGAAGGCAAGTTTCCAAAATCTCATTTTCTAAGAAATTGCCAAATTTCAGCTTTGGGTGTCAATTTTAGAAAAATCGTATCTTGCACTACGTAGGTCCAAAATTGGAACGCTTGATACCATTGGAAACTACATTCCGAGTAATACAAGTTTCTAGAAGACACTTTTCCATGATCCCAAATGGAAGGTATTCAAAAGTTGGATCAAAGTTACTGCTGTAGAATACTAAGACAGTTTCAAGGTTGGTTTTTGGCCAATTTTGGAAATTCGGCAAATTCACTTGTTTTGAACTAACCTTTGAAATTTGGAAATCAATTAGTGTTGCAATCCAAGAGTATAACAAAACAAGCGGAACGAGAAATGGAGTTTCGAGCACCAAGATATAGTACCTCCAAGTTGCTGAAAAAGTTAAGACTGTTGGGCTATTTTCCAGGTTTAAAACTAGATTCGAAATATCATTTGGTCATCAAGTTGGCATTAGAAATACATCAAACTTGGTACACTAAATCTTCCATGTGTGAACAACATTTCTACTAAGTTTCGTACAAAAACTCTCACGGTAAGGTAGTCATTAAAACAACCAAAGTTTATGAAGAGTTTCACGGCTAAACTACCTTCTCACTTTTCTTTCGTTTACAAACTTTTTGTACCATGAAATCAGTTTCAAATCTCTCCATTATTGAAACCAAGAGTTCATAAACATCCACTGAGCAATTTAAAGACCATTGACATCCAAATTCTAGAAATAAAACTCTCCAAATCAGATTTGACCATTTGGCTAAGAGAAAACGAAAAGTTTTCCAGATTCGATGAGCGAATTTTGTGACATCATTTGCATATCAAAATGGTCTTAGAATATTACCAAATTTTGTACAATTAAACCTCCATATGAGGATTACTCTTCTATCAAATTTCATTTGAAAATTCACACGGGAAGGTAGTTAACTAAACCATCAAAGTTCAGGAAATTTCCCAAGGTAAAACTGTCTTCTAGCTCTTCTTTCCTTTTTAAATATTTTGTCCAAAGCAACCAACCCAAATCTGGTTTATTTGTAAAACAAAGTCCAAGGAACATCTAATCTAAAGTTTGGTAGGTGTTGGACATCAAATTTTCCAAAACAACAAGTCCCAAATCATTGTTAGTTACAAATCTGTCCAAGTGGAAAATTCTATCACTGTAGCAGTTTCAAACTTTGGCCACAACTCACTCAATTCAACTTGGAATTGGACGTGGTTGATGGCGTTGGAAAGCTCTCTTATAAAGCTGAATTTTCTCAGAAGAAACCATTTTCAAATTCCATTCACAAATAGCTCGTTTTTGAGCATCAAGAAGCAATTTCTGTCCTGTCTCCTGGAGAGCAACGAAACAGGACAGTGATATTCAATCGAATGGTGTGGCTCACTCAAGTGGAACCAGAACGTGAATTTGGTACCAATGGAAAGCTAGGAATGTCTAGTTTCCAATGCCGCAAACGGCACTTGATTTCGACATCGGAACAAAGAAGATGACTGCTATGGCAATACGGGCCTCAATATTTTTTTTTTGATTTGCTAACTTTCGAAATCAATTCATTTGACCAACCAAATCATGTTATTTTTCAATGAAATTTTGTACACACTTACAATAATAGATAAACAACATAATAAATTCATTAGAATCTCAAAATCTGGCACGAAAACGGTCGGACAAGGCAGGGGTAAAACGGTCACTTTTGCTCCAAGCACCTCCTTTGATTTTCTACCAACAATACAACATTAATCTACTAATATAAGCACTAAACCACCATTAATTTCATCATCCAACATCAAATCAGCAACAACCCAAGAGTGGGAGTTCATAGAGCCCACTTTCACATTTTATACCATAAACAAGACTACCCACATGATTATATAACCTTATATGTGCAATAAATCTTACAAAAACTAAGATCTATGGGTTGGATGATTTGCTACCTTCTTGGATGATTAGATCAGAAATTTTGGTCACTCTTTGCTCCAGAAAACCGTGGCTTTTCAGCTCCCTTTTGCAGCTCAAAATACTCCTCAAGTGTTAAGCTAAGTGTAGTTCGAATTTGGAGTGAATTGGAAGAGGTTTGGTGAAGATTTGATGGAGGAATTGGAAGAACTCTTGAGCTGTTTTTCTTGCTTTGTTGTTCGGCCAGATGAGGGAGCAAGAGAGAGAAATTGTGGTCTGAAATGAGGCTTCCAAAGGAAGCTTAATGACTAAGGATTGGGTGCACAAAAGTCAACCGCAAAAAGTGCGCGCACGCGCGCGTTTTGTGCTGGATTCCTCTCGCGTTTGTTTCACTAGTGCACTAAACCTCTAAGGCACTTATATTCATATAAATATTATTCACTCTTAATTGTCCTCAAATAAGGGTCTAAAGTTCCTCAATTGAAATCGCGCGTGTGAAAACGCGTATCTCCAATTTAAGCGCAATAACGCGAAACTTCCGAGAAATTCTTATAACGATAGTACTAATAACTATCACTTGAGTATTTAAACATTAAAATGCCTAATTTAGGTCCATTGTACATGTCTCTAATATTTCAAACCTATTGTACTCTCAATCGATCAAGATTTCCAAAGACGTGATCACTATTTTTACAAAACGAGCTTCCGAAAATTAATTTTTGAAACAAGTCATTTTAAAAATATAATGAAACTATATTTCCATGTAATTAGGTCTCAAGAGCTTAGAAAATAATATTCGGAGTAAAAGACCAAATAAATAATTAAATAAGCTAGAAATAGGAGATTAAATAAGTAAATTTTGCGAGTCCTCACAACCTCCCATCCTTAAAAGAATTTCGTCCTCGAAATTCATACCTTCTGTAATCTCAGACAACTCTGAACCGTGTGATGTGTTCATGTCAAGCGTTCTTTCAGATGTCACTAGTCGGTTTCTCCTTCCATTGACTTGTCGAGGGGCAGTTCCATTTCCTTGTTGAGCAGTAGTTTCTCGTGGATACCTCTTTGGACAGTCATGAACTTTATGATTGGTGCTCCCACATCCCATACACTTTCGTCCCTTTAGCCAACAGTTTTCTTCAGTGTGATTCGTCCTTCCACAATATCCACAAGTTGGACGAGGTGTTGTGACCTGACTTGCTTGCGAGGTTTTCTTTGATCGTGTTTGTCCTACTGAAGTCCCTCGTGACATAGTTCCTTTTGGTTCCTTTATCATGAGTGGTGCAGGAAGTGACAGTCCTACTTCATCCACTTCTTTTCTAACTTTGGGCGGTGGTCCATTTTTTCCTAGTGTACTGTCAGATGTATCTCTTTTCCTTTTTTGAAAAGCTCTCAGTTGAGATTTTGTGCTTTCTACCCTTTGCGCTTTTTCAAGAGCGTCACTAAATGTTTCAACCTGTGCTGCAGCAAGGGCATCTTGGATTTCCAAATCTAATCCTTGGATAAACCGTCTTATTCTCTTCCGTTCAGTAGCCACCAATTCTGGGGCATATGTAGATAACTTCGTAAAGCGTGTTTCATACTCAGCTACGCTTAAAGTTCCTTGACGAAGCTTTATAAAATCATCTTCTCTCTTTTCTTGGACAAGTGGAGGAAGAAATTTCTCATTAAATTCACGCACGAAGTTTATCCAAATTCTCGGAGTTTGATCTCTTTCCCACTTGTTTCTTATAACATTCCACCAGGCTCGGGCTGCTCCTTCAAGTTGAAATACAGCAAAGGTGACTTGTCTCTCCTCTGTGTAATCCAAGGCATCGAATATATTTCTTATATTCTCTAACCAATTTTCAGCCACCTCTGGATCAGGTCCTCCAGCAAACTTAGGTGGGGAAAATTTCTGAAACCGCTCTAAAGCTCGATCCTCCCCTATCTCTTGGTTTCCACGTTGGTTCCCTTGTCCAACACCTTGACCTTGTTGAGCTACCAAGAGCTCTAGGATATCCGTCATGCGAGTTAAAACTTGTCCTATCTGGTCATTTCCTCTCCCAGCACTTAGCTCAACGTTTTGATCGATATCGGACCCATTAGCTACTCTTTCATTTCGGGGTTGTCTAGGTTGACGTCTCTTTCGTTGTCCTCTAGTTTCCATGTTCACAACTAATCTATACGCACATGCATAACCCTCACACTTAGTTAAAATTGAACTACACTCATATACCAGTAGCAACATTTAAAGAGGATGAAGACACTTTCACAAATAACATTATCACTATGCAAGTAAACACAAACTAGAGTTCATTAAATCATAACACAAATTATGGCCAAGTAAAGTTCATGCCAAGTCAAAGTCAATAACAAAAATAAACAAGTGATTATCACAAGTACATTCATCTCCAAGGCGCAAACTCTTAAGTTCTACTCCCATCGTCTCACTATGAAAGATCACCAGTAGAGATTCACTAGATTAATTGGAACTAGACGATTCTCGTTCCCTAACATGCTCGATTTCAATCCCAACACAAGGATCTTTTGGGTTACGATATTTTCCATCTTCCACTCTTAATTATTGTACCATCTTAACCAAACAATTATTGGTTTCCTGTAACCATTCACATGAAATATCGATTCATTCTTATTCCCCACAAATGGAGATATAAAGTCCCTATGGTTGCTTTCCACTCCCAAGTACTCGGGTTCAAGAATCCAAAATAGGATAATTCACATCTCGAGCCGGCCGGTCCCAAGAGTAAATCACCACATTCGAGATTCCTACCCAACATACATATCAAATTCCCTCCAATCATCAAGATAAAGGTTTTACAACCTATAACATTCATGATTCACAACTTACATTTCTAGAAGGGCACTTAAGTCTTTACTCAATCACATAGTAAGAACCATAACACTACTTGGCCCTATCTTGCTCCTTTGTAGAGACCACGTGAAGTGGCTCTAAATTCATCATTACAAGCAATCATTTAACTTTCAGAATAGTCCCACAGTCCGGCATCCTAAACATTTAAGCCTAGGATACACTACAAAATCTGAAGCCTAAGCTCTGATACCAATTGTGGCGCCCCCACTTCTCCCTAAGGCGAACCAAAGGGTATCCGCGGGACGCCTGCCCAGCTCTCGCCAGGACTCACTACAATCCATCATTCAAAAGCTCGAAATACTTTAAGTAACTTCAATACATAATTAAAGTACTCCAAATATCTCACACTTACAATTATGCAGCTTCCAAGCTTAAATACAACCCAACGGAAAAGGGTACCATAGCCATCCGTTATAATATAACTTAAAGTTTTCAAAAGAAAACAATCTAGTACTACTCACGAGCACCCTTGGTCTCGAACCCTGTAAAAGAAAACCACAACGTGGGATGAGCTACACAGCCCAGTGAGGTTCCAAGACACTCTAACAGTTCAAATAAATCAAGTAAGTTGGGCATATCATATGCATGGTTCAATGTTACACAATGGCGTGTTATCATGAAGTGATAATCATTGTACGAGTAATTTGAGATATTTATCATGGTATGAGACATTTATCATGAGACAGGTATCATGATATAAGTACATTGGTCAGGTAACAGGTATGGAGCATATCACAGGCATAGTTCAGGATTTCATGTTGACATTTTAGCATGAAACAATTATCATGATACAAGGTAAACATATACGGTAGGATACGGTGTTCCAGTGGAACTCTGTCGGTCATCTACACCTTATGACTTCTGATCCCCACGGTACGGTCTGGCCATCGCCTTATCCCTCCAGTGGTAATACTCGAGTATACCGAAACGGTGGCCCAGGGTTCCAACCTACCCGACCGAGCCCAGTCCTGACTCGAGTAGGTCAGTAACCAAGGGCAGGGCCCAAGTTCAGCTTAGAGCTTACAACATGCACAAGTAACCAAGTAATTCGACAAAAGGTAAAATTCATCATTTGAGTAGGTCGAGTGAGGTAAAGTACACACTCGCCTAATAATGATGGACAGCTTCATATAACATGTGATTCATGATAATCAAGTAATCAGGTGGTCAAGTAACCAAGTAAGTTGGTGATCACGTAAGCAGATAACCAAGTAAGCAAGTAACCAAATAGATTAGAAAACGGTAAGTAAACACGGTTAACGGTAAACGGTAAACGGTTAACGGTGGTAATTACGGTTAATTGGTAGACATATGTCATTTCAATAGGCCGCCATTGGCCGTTTTTCACTTTCACCACGTAAGAGTCGAGGAGATTCACTCCAACCGACTTATGCTGTCATAGCATAATTAATCATTTAAACACATCATGTAAATATGCTCTCCAAACATTTCATATCTAGTATTTCAAGTAATCACATAAGTATGCTCTTTAAGCATTTCATATCGAATAGTTCAAGTAGTCACGTAAATATGCTCTTCAAGGGTTTCATATCGAATAGTTCAAATATACATACTTCACGTGTTTCATGTCGAGTAATTCAAGTATACACTATTCAAATATGCATGAGTGTGGTAAATACTTAACATATAGCACTTAACACCTAATGACCAGGAGTTAAGCATGTCATAGACTTATTCCAATTACGTATTCCTATATGGAACACTCACCTATTGCAACAAGAGAGTAAATACTCAAACAAGTGTCTAGGCGTCCACTTCGAGTTCCTCTTGAAGGTCCCCTTGAGCGCCTGAGCAAATAACCATTAACTATTATGCACTATCACTTAGAACTCCTACTTATCAAAGAAGGTTGTACAATCTAAGGGGAATTCATAAATTGGGCCTTAATTATTAATAATCGAGGCTCAAGAGTAGAGTTTGAAAGTCTAAAGAGAGAGACTAACATTTTTCATGAAATCGAGTTCAAAATGTTCAATCGGTATCGAGAAAAGAAGGCAAGTTTCCAAAATCTCATTTTCTAAGAAATTGCCAAATTTCAGCTTTGGGTGTCAATTTTAGAAAAATCGTATCTTGCACTACGTAGGTCCAAAATTGGAACGCTTGATACCATTGGAAACTACATTCCGAGTAATACAAGTTTCTAGAAGACACTTTTCCATGATCCCAAATGGAAGGTATTCAAAAG